TCTTTCCTTATTGTGTGATAAGCTCTTCAATGGACGGAAATAAAGGCTATCTCCAGAATGGTGTAGATGCATCTTGCCCTGTGGATCTTGCACTCAGCAAATAGTCTGTTTGACAATCTTCAAAAAAATTTTCCAGCTCTGTGATTTAACCTCCAACCCAGAGGTTAGTCAACTTTAAAAAAACAAAAAACATTTGCTGGCATAAAATGACATTCATACACTGTAACATTTCCTTACTCATCCCTGTATAATAAAGTATTATACTGTTTCTGTTCTGAAGACCTGACATTGTGGATATATAACAATGTTAACCAATTCGTGCTTTACCCAGCCAGGTTCTGTGAAAACAGGAAGAAGTATCAAGAATGGGATAGGATGAGGTGAGTAGGAGAATTTAACAATGTACTGCATGGGGAAGCTTAACTTTGGTGACAAGTTTTTAATATTTATGGTATGAACAGATATATGCAATATTTTGTTTCATTATTGATGTTTTCATTATTGATTGGAAGACACTCAAAGTTCAATTAAAATGAGTGGCTCTTTAAAATGTTTTAAATAAAATATATAAATAAAAAAATGGTAGATATAATAAACATCATCCTGGCACAAAAGATGGTAGGACATTTCTTAAGCAGGCTAACCATATGATATATACCGGCATAATTTATGACAATCCAGAACAATATATTTCAGAATGATTTGTGTCTTTTTCTTGACACCATGAATAAATGATGATGGGCCTAAACATAATGATTTCCCAGCCTGTCATATTAATTTTGGTTATGTTATTATTTTACATTATAAATGCATTATTTATTTCCAGCAGGTATATGATTTTCCCTCTTGATTTTTGCCACTGCATACAGCTGGGCTGCCGAAGGGTAATTAATTTCTTAGGGCACAGCTTTAAAAATATTAGAAGTTTCTTTGGGGAGTGGTATATATTGCCTCAATGAGCATGTTTAACTCAAATGCATTGTGAATGGAAAGCAATTTATTCTTTAAATACCGAAGGCTGGAATGGAGTCTGAATATATGTACTTTTTTGGAGTGTGTCTCATTCATGTATGACTGAGAAGGAGGTTGCCCAGAAATTGTGGGAAGCAATGATTATTTAGATTTGGGGGGTGGGGAGGGATGAGAAACAAATTTCTTGATTCTCTTTTTGTCCTTCAAACTTTAATAAACTTACACTTGATTACTATTTCTTTGTGAAGTTAGCTGCAAGCCAGAAATCAGTACCCACCCTCTTATAGATTCTCTTTTTTTTCAACAAAATGGGAATCAAAAGAGTTGATTTGACAAACAACCATTTATATTCAGGAGATGGCAGTAGCTAGTTCACCTTGGCTGATTTTGAAAAACTAAGTAGGATCAGAAATGATACTACTCAGATGGGAGACCACCTAAAAGTCCCAAATAGATTGGAAAGTTGAAAAATGACCCTGGAAAAAAGCAATAAAAACATTTTGATGCAGTGGGGGGGGGGGGGGAGAGAGAAACACATGGATATGTCTGTGAGGTCACCAAGAATTGAGCATAATATGAAACTTTATTTTTTTTAATAACCAGCAGTTATAGTGGATGAAGGGAAAAAAAATTAAAAACATTTTTGTACTCTTTCATAGAATCTGCTGATTGTGTCTGCATTTCTTGCAAAACAAAAACAAAACCAAAACCTAACAAAACCAGCCTGGGCGATCAGGTACACAGTACAAAAATGTCAACATGCCCAGTGTTGAGTTCTGAATTATTGCGGTGAAAATAATCAAGAAAAATGGCAACTGAAGAACCTGTCTTACTTTTGGAAGATTTATTGCCATTTTTCAGGAAAAACATTTCTAAACCAGCTTAGTTTCCATTTCTCTATATCTTTATACTCATTGGAGTATATTTTATTTTGCATCCAACGATATGTCTGGCAATGTTTCTGGTAGAAGGAGTGCTTTGAATGTCAAAATATTGACGTGTTCAAGTATTTTGCTCTTTTTGCAATCAAATGTTTTTCGAGGCAGCTTATAAGCAACTGGTGGTAATTATACAACACAAGCTCAAATGCATATTCATGTTCTCGCTCTTTTTCTCGCACATATTCATTCAGCAATCTTTTATTAATAAGCACTTCTTCCTAGTAAAAGCAACTAAATGCTCCTTTGGGCTGATGTTGGAGCATTCAAGTGCTACAACAGCAGACAAAATTTCTGTCTATGGTGAATAACCTGCTGCTGACATGTTGGCTAATTATGAGGAAATGAATATTCCCTTTGAAGAGAGTTTTGTTTTTATGAATCATCCCAGATTGAGTTAGTTAATGAAGCTGGAAGATGGTGCAGGACTAATATTCAAACGGAATAAATTGCTTTTTTAAAAGGTCTGGTCAACGCATAATGGTCTTCATAAGTTGTCTATACCGATCCCCAAATAGACAAATGCCCTGATAAATGCTCATAACAGGCAAGTGCATTGGAATGTCAATCCTGGTTTTGTCTATAGGCACATTCTTCAAAATACAAGCAGGCATTGTAAAACAAGAAAAAATATTATCATGGTTTATCCAGATAATCTGGGTATCAATAAGGCATTAGTTAGGCATGCATATTTTTTTTTAAAGGACGACTATGCTAAAAGGCCATTTTTGGCTACAAAAGGAATGCACCAATCAGCCTGATTTTCTCTTCAAACGTGAAGATCAGGACCAGCTTTCCCAGTGGTGATGATAATAGAATCAAGCAGGAGGAAGCACATCAGATTAATCTCCCAATCCATTGTTTCTCCACTAGAGACACCCTTTTCTTAGGGAGTACATAGAAAACTGTTTTCTATGAAGTAAATTTCTTGAAGAATATGATTTAGACAGGAAAGTGCTTGAGTAAAGAATGGAACACACCCGGTTTTGAATGGTAATGTTTCAATTAAAGAAATACCCACTAGATTAGAAGGATAAAACGAGAGTGTTACACCCTACGGTGTATTTCATCAAGACAAAGGGTAGAGAGCTTGTAGCTTCCGCAGGTTGCTGAACATCTGCTCCTATCAGTCACACTCGGAAGGATGGAGATTGTACTGTAGATCACAACATATGAGCAGGGTAGGTTTGTCACTCTTGACCTTGAGAATTGGGATTTCTTCAACTTTCTATACTAACTAGTTCTATGCTTAAATTGGACTTAACCCAAGCAAAACACAGTAACTATGGGTTTTTGAATCCCCCCAGTTTGGAGATTCTTCATCTTTAAATTTGGATGGGGTTGAATTCCCCTGGATAAAAAGGATGCACAGTTTGGAGGTTTTTTTTAGACTCTCACTCTTGTTGAAAGAGCACGTGGAAACCATGGCCATGAACTCATTGTACCAGTTCAAAAGTCAGGAGGTCTTGCCTATGGTTACTCATGCCTTGGTAACCTCCTGTTTGGCTATTGTAATAATTTTTACATGGGACTGCTCTTGAACCATCCAGATGCTTCAATTAATCCAGAATGCAGTAGTGGAGGTAGTTATGGATATACCATGGTATGCCATCTGTATTTGCTAAGCATGAGCGAAGGGAGAAGGCTGCGTTTCAGAGATCTTATCAGTACATGTTTTATGCATTGTTGGGAGATGGATTTTTGAGTGAAGTATTAATAAATCTCCAGGGTTTATCCCTCTGGTCTAAGGCTGTGACTGGAAGAAACATTTTAATATCTATATATTTTTTAATTTGTTTCTAACAATGAACTGCATCATCATGCATGAAGCATAAGACTTTGGCTTAAGAACAATTTTTATTATATTGTTTATCAGCTTTCATAAAGTTATTTGTACTGTTTAGCTGTGTTTGTGTGTTATGTTTGATACATCAACATTCAAAATACACACACAGCACTCACAGTTAATTCCTGAGTTGGGGATTTGGGGCAAGACTACAGATGATGGGTAATAGGGAAGAATAAGTGTTTAAATTAACCTCTACACCATGATGAATGCTATGCAGTTTCTACTTGAACGCATCTAAACTCCCGCTTCTCTGTGTAATTAGTTCCATGGCTGAATCATTAATTAAATAGATTTTAATTGAACCATTGTTTCTCTCTCCCACTGCTAAATGAATCCAGTAAAGCTAGAAAGTTAGTGTCATCATTGGCATAAGTATTTTTAAGGATAGCCACTGCTACATGCTTCTGCTAATAAGTCATGATGGTAGAAAAAGGATGGCATATACCTTATCCTTGAGTCCTGACATCTAATGTAAATATATAAGTTATAGTATTTGTGTTATGTTGCTGTGGTGAAAGTTTTGTTACCAGTTTTCCTTGCCCACTCTTGTAGACACCTATAATTATTATGTTTAACTTTTATATATTTATTGTCATAGCATATGTTTTTTGAATCTTGTCTCTCTCTTTACACAAACACACACACACACCATCTTGAGGCAAATACTTTGTGCCTTGAATAATTCTCATAATAAAGCTCAATAAATCTGAAACCTAGCCCAAGGCTCCTTTCTCTTAAGGTAACACAAAATTCTTTTCTTGTGCCTTGTGCCTTTTCTATTGCCAAATAGCATAGCTACCCTTCTTCAAAGCAGGACTGCAAGTGGAATTTGAAAAAGGAAGATAGTTGAAGAAGGAAGATAGTTTTTCTGATATTCTCCAGAGTGGTTATTTCTTTTGCAATGTGGTTGAGATGACCAAGTGTTTGCACATTACTAGATGAAGAAGACTATATGAAGATGCAGTATACTACTTCTCTGTCGGTGTATCATAGAACCAAGTAGAGATGACTTGTTCCCCTTTCCCCACGCGAGATAAAATTAGAACTGAGGGGGACCAATTTCATCAAGGGATTGTTATTAACACTAGTTCAGGGTGCAAGAATAAATAAAATTTGGAAAATGCATGTATTTGAGATAAATCCCTTTCCAATGAGCCCTGCTGCCCTTAAAACCTATTGATAGACCTCTTGCAGGTTGTCACATCATAACATTTTATTGTGAACCTCTTCTCCCACACTGATTCATAAATACACAAGACCAAGGTACAAAAGTTCCACTTGACATCAAAACTAGTTTTACAAAATGACCAATGTCTGTAGCAGTACAAAATGAAATTTTCAGATCATAACAAATGAAGCCAACTATCCTGGTTGGCAATGAGGGCTTCATTGATTGCTGTTGTATGTTTCAAAATGTGGGTTCCTCACAAAAGAGTATGATGAACCAATGGCATTGGTTTTGTGGAAGTTTATACAGAATTTGTCAGGGTGGGTTGCACAACAGTGTGGTCAAAGCATGTAATAATTAGAGCCAATTGAGTCTACAATTAGCTCCTAGTTGGTTACTCCTACTTTATTTTGGAACAAGTCCCAGTAGGTTTGATGGGATAATTTTGAGTCAACCTCCATGTTTGGCTATAAAGAAAAAGATGACCACACTAACAAAGATCATAATCTAGAACTGACCATCTCTTTTCACACTCCAAATGTTAGCCTGGGATGATGTTATTTGGAGGGAACAGTAGAAATGTTACAATAATTAAAACTCCCCAACTATTCAGTTACAAACCTGATTCTTTTCAGGGCATCCAAAGTTACTGGCTCTTTCAAATAAGCTCCTTAGCTGAAGATGTTGTTAATGCCTTATAAATTGTCCTGGAGAAATCTCACAGTGTGTAGTCTGTCATGATTCCTCTTACCAAGTGGGGTAACCCTTTCTTATATTGCAGACAGTGGGGATAAAGCCCAAAACCCTTTTACCCAATCTGGGGCTCCCTCCAATTGAGTGGGATTTCAGGTCAGCAATGGCCATGCTAAAGGCAGGAGTATCATTTCAAGCATTGTGACATTATGAGGCAAGCACTGACTCACAGAACATGCATTATAACATCATACTCAGTGGGCAGGATGTATTTGCCATTTGTCACCTTGAACCCACAGATACTTAAGGCTATCTGGGGAATTCTGCAAGTCAAAGTCTACCCATCAGAAGGTTGGTCATATTCAGGAAAGCCCGTTCATACTATTTGGTAAGTTCCCTGATTTTCTTGACTATATTATTTTGGGGGAGAGGAAAGCCATTTCGGTTTCAGGAAAATAGTAGAGATGGTTGTTTTTTTTTTATCAGACAACATTTGTTCTGTGTTTCAGATCTGCAATGTGTACTTTGCATTTTTCAAGTCATGGTTAATATAGTATTTGTAAGAAAGTACAGATGAGTACATGCACTTTACATAAAATACACAAACTTTGGGTTTCTTCTACCTCTCAGCTTTCCCAGTTTGTTCTGTGAATTATATCTATCCAGGAATATATTTTCAGTTCTCCTAATTATGTATATGTGAGCTAACTGATCTCTATGGCTTTTCCTTCTATCTGGGTACCACAAGCATACTTGACACCTCTACTCAGCACTTGAATTACAGGGAGGCAGAAAGGCCTTCCCTTTTTAGCTGTTTTGAACCAAGTCAGCTTCAGATTTTAGAAAGTTCTGGGGAAAAATAGGGCATCTCAAAAAACTATGGTTCAGAGGGCAATATGAAGTGGCAAATTCATTATATTCTGAAGAACTTTAAAAACAAATGGATCCTTATCTACCTATGTAGCTTGTTATTAGACAGCTGTAAACAACGGGCAATCGCATCAAAATTAGAATAACGTTGGGCAGCCTATAAGTTTAAATAAATAAATAAATAAAAATAAAAAGATAAGCATAACAATGAAAAAAAACCATTGTGTTTTACAAATATAGGGGTCTGTTTTCTTTTTCCCTAGTGTAAATTTAAGTTAAATAGATTTGAGACTGAAAGAAAATATAGCAGCTCTATCAAGCCTGCAGTAGGAATAAAAACATCTCATTCATACATCTATAAACATCAATAGGCTACAAGATTTCTGCAAGAAAGGGATATCACTGATACTAGTCTAAAAAGATACTATTACAAAGAAAAGAGCAGAAGTTTTACAGAAATTTCAACTAATTTCAGCCATTTTAGTGTCCATCGTAAGGGACCTTACTACACTACTGGAATTGCATGTGTAGGTTCTGATAATATAAAACATTTTGAAGCTCATTGATCCATAATCACTGGTTGATCATAAAAGGCTCCTTGCCTTTCTGTCTTACACATGGAGTGAGTTGGCATATTGTTTGCTTCTGTCCCAATATGGAGTAATGGGAATTTTGATGAGAGTCAAGAAAGAATATTAGATTTTGGAATAATCCCATTTTTTTTAATCAAATCCTGATTTCCAGTCTAGATGTAGAGTAAATATAATTTCACACCAGAGAAAATGAGTCACAACAAAGTGGAATAACAGTGATAAAGCTGGTTGTGCCCTAGTGTTCTGCTTTCTGGAGCATTTCAAGGACCTTGTTTAGTCTGTGCTCTGCTGGACAGCAACTTCCTTGGTAAATTTTGACATATTAAAAAAGAAGAAAAGAAAGCAAAGCAGTGAGTGAATGAGGCTAGGGAACCTTGGCTGTTAGACAATATCTATCCAGACTTCATTTTAGTTTAATGCAGTCCACCTCCTCAGTGATGGGCATTGCGCTGGTTCTGATATCCATATCTACACTAGCCTTGGATCCATAGTAGGTGGACCTCCACCTAAGCAGCATAATCTTCTTGAAGTATTTCATGGTGTTGTTCTTGACTGTCACAAAACACATGGTATTTATCATGCTATTGCTCATGGCGATGCACTCCACTATGTAGAAGGCTGTCAAGTAATGCTTTTCCTTCACAAAGACAGTGGGGAAGAAGTCACGGACAATTGTGAAGCCATAGAAGGGTGCCCAGCAGAGAACATAGGCAGTTAGGATGCACATGAGCACCAGCACAGTTTTCCTTCTGCAACGAAGCCTTTTTCTGATCTGCTCTGTCTGGAAGCCTGGCACAGTTTTAAACCAAAGCTCCTGTGAGATCCTGGCATAGCAGAGAGTCATGGTGAAGACTGGTCCAACAAATTCAACCCCAAAGATGAACAGAAAATAGGTTTTGTAATACATCTGCTGATCGACTGGCCAAATCTGTCCGCAGAAAAACTTCTTTTGGTTTTTGATCATGAATAGTTCGGTCTCCGTTGCAAAATAGGCTGATGGTATTGCAATGATTAGGGAGACGATCCACACCAAAGCAATTAGACAGGTTGCTGTTTGGTAATTCATCCGAGGTTTCAGTGGGTGAACAATGGCAAGGTACCTGCAAAACACAGACGTTTCAAATTTGTATTAGAAAAGATCCACTTGTTTTGCTTGCTTCAAAGTAGCTTATAGTATAATTAATAGAATTGGCGTTGTTTTATTGGTCATTGTGCTGCTATTATTCCAATATTTAAGAAATGGAATTGTAGACACTGTATCATTGACATAATGCTACTAATTCTGAGCAATTGGCAAAAAAGCATTATCCTGCATTCAAAGCTGTAGTATAATTTTTATTTCAACACAGCTCCCATCATCATCATTGCTCTGTAGATTCCAAATATAGCTTTACATACTTCACATACCCCAGTCTTTTGAGCTACTACACCCACCGTTCCTCGACACAATAGAGCGTGGTTAACTATACTTTATCAACATCTGCAGGCCACAAAGATAGAAGACGTTGCCCTAATATTTGATTAAAAGATCTCTTCCATTAATGTTGCACTACATAGCATCCAATAATAAAGCACCCCCTAAAGATTCAAAGGAAGTGGCATGATAACTCCAGAAAAAAATATGTTAGCAAGATACCACTTGTTCAAAGGAATCTGAGATCAATTTTCTGTAATTTCTTCAGACTTCAGATAAACCTGCAGACACTGGTCACAATCATACACAATGCCTGCCCTCCCATGCCTTTAATTCTGGAGAATTATGGAGAGTCGATTCTGAGATGCTTTTTCTATTCCCCATTTGTCCTTTGGATTGTAGGCTGTGCCACTTTCTCTTGACTCCTAAGATTATTCCCACAGCCCTTTACACTTTATAGCTGTGTACAACATCAAAATCCATATGTTGAAGTTTGTAATACATGATTTATGATTTTATGTACGTGTGAATCAAGCCACTATTTATAGTGCCATGGCTTAGTGCAGGAGTCTTCAAACTTGGCTCTTTTATGACTTGTGGACTTCAACTCCTGGAATTCCTCAGCCAGGCTTGCTGAGTTTGAAGACCCCTGGCTTAGTGTGATGTGCAAAGTCTGAATCTGTACACTTTGGATGACTGACAGTGTGAGAGTTATGGTCCTGTCTGAAGAGGTCTGGATCTCCATTGGGGAGATGATACAGTTTGCCTCATTGAGTTTCAGAGCTAATGTGGTTTCCCTTGATGAGCCACTTTGTGTCATCTTGAAGACTTGGACAGCAGTTCTGATAGTACCAATAAAGGAGAATATTTGTAGTTCAGAGTCCTTGGTGCTTTCTGAACTCGGCTGATGATGTTACCTAGTTTGGGTAATAAAACATCTGCAAGAAAACAACCAAGCTCAGAGAGCACCAAGGACCTCTCAGTTCTAATAGTCTGAAGAGGCTTCTGAGTCTGAGCAGGAAGACTCTTCCAACAATGGAAAGTCTCAGCTCCCATTTGGAATAGTTAGGGAAGGTGTCAGTAATGATGTAAGGCCATAATGCAATTGCTTCACTTTTAATATATTTTTGTGGGGGGGAGGGTTTATGTGGGAGGGTGGTGGAGGTTGTCATAGCTCTTCTTCAGTTAGGTGATTGGACTGAAGTTTGCATAGCCCTAGAGAATTATCTGTCAACGTTCACAACATCGTTCTGTTAGCTCTTCAAGAAATATCAGACTGTACTAACCTCTTCTTCCGATTTTTTTTTTAAAAATTCATTTTGTACACTGAGATTAGTTTCTATTCACAGAAGTTTAAAAGAGAATGATTAGAGGTAAGTTTATATCCTTTCTTTTCTCTCTACATTACAGTGACATTCTCCAAAGTCAGGCAGTACAATAAAAAAAATAAAAAAATCTGATCTTGTCTTTCCTTTGTTGCTAAATCTTCTCTGCTGTAGCGTAATATTTTCCATGCCACTGCTCTCCAATATTTTCTATCTGACCTTTGCTGAGCAAGTGGTTCCCATTATTTGTACATCAAATCCAACATCTCAAATGGTGATACAGGTAGTATAAAATAACTGTAAAAAAATTATTTCTGATACATCACAGAGTAAACTATCTGAATGGAGTATACACTTATCTATAGGTTTCCCTACACATTGCTATTAATCTGGCACATTTAAAGATGTAAATATTTAGAGAATCATGTTGGAGTACCATGTAATTTCAAATATAAGATCGATATCTCTAGGGTGGATCCAGATTTTAGAAGGGAACGACAAATTCCAATTCTGCCACATTTTTTAGCCTATATTGCAAAGCTATCACGTGACTATAATTGCCTATGTGCTGAAGAATGTGTCGATGTATATTGCAAACATGCTGTCAGATGTTGATATGTCAAAGGCCACTGAAGGCTGATGTCATAAACATTCTTAGCTCATTCCAAGATTAATGCTTGAACAGAAAGGATTGCTATCCTTATAGGAGGTCCTCTGGGCAAGCCTTCCACAATTTGGCATTCTCTCCATATGAGTTGGATTATAATCCCATTATCCCCAGCTATAGATAGCATGTCAGAGAGCAGTACAGGTAGTCCTTGACTTACAAAGGTTTGTTTAGTGACCGTTCAAAGTTACAACAGCACTGAAAAAAAGTGACTTATGACCCATTTTTCACACTTATGACCATTGCAACGTCCCCATGGTCACGTGATTTACATTTGGATGTTTGACAACAGTTTCATATTTATGACGGTTGCAGCATCCCGGGGTCCTGCAATCCCCTTTTGCGACCTCCTGACAAGCAAAGTTAACGGGGGGGAGCCAGATTAACTTAACAACTGTGTTGTTACTAACTTAACAACTGCAGGGATTCATTTAACAAATGTGTCAAGGAAAGTCGTAAAATGGGGCAAAACTCAGCAAATTTCACACTTAACAATATAAATTTGGGGCTCAGTTGTGGTCATAAGTTGAGGGCTACCTGTACTGGTTAAGGAGATGGGGACTGTAGTTTAGCAATCTGAAGGGAAGCTAACACCAAGAACATTTTTCATACAAGTATCTAACTGACACTAAGAGCTGCTGCTAATAGAGCATGTATACCTATTTTATCCAAACTTGGCCATTTTCAAATGCAAAAGAATCCCAGTAATTACTTTGGGGTTCTATTTAAATCTTGAAAAAAAGACTGCAGATTTACATAATTGCTTTAATGTAGGATTGTTGCCTGAAACAATAGCTTCTCTTATGGAGGGGAAATTAGGCAATCTTTGTTCATGATTAGTGTTTCATTGCAGTCTCCTTAATAATTACACCAAAAAGATATTCCTTTCAGCCTTGCCTGCCTTCCATATTTGAACGCTGTTCAAATTCTTCTAGATATTTCCAAACCTGATGTTTGAAATGCAATGAATGGTTTGGTCGTCAAGTCCCCCTAGGACAAACAAAGCAAAAGCATTTGGATTTATGTCTGAGATGTGTGCAAGATGCTGTTCTAAAACTACAAAATCAAATCTTATTTCTTCTGGTTAATAGTCATTTGGGAAAACACAATTCTCAAAAACGTTTTGCTTTAATTCTGCAAATGGCTTTCTTCTGCAAATGACAATAACATCAGCATGTGAAGCAAACAAAGAGCTGGGTTTTTGAAAATAAAAAGCTTATTACTTTGGAACCATTTCCAGCAACCACAGTGTTCCTCCCTTCTTCATAACCACTTCTAAAGAGCAGACATCCATCACCTCTCATTAATGTAGTAACATAGGATCACTGGAATTCCAGAGGTGAGTAACCTTAGAAAAACCATCAATATCACTCTCAGAAAGCCAGAAGAGACTATCCCAAGCAGAGGTATACGTGGAAGACTTCTGCTCAAACCTGAGGTGATAGTGGTGGAAGTTGCTAAATTGCAGGTCTATGGCCCCATTTTCAATCTGCACATAACTCTGCCAAGATCGAGCAACCTTTGTCAGGTGTTTCCCCTAGCAGCTTTTTATTACAACTCTCAGCTTTTGATGTCAAACGATAACTGTGATTTATCTTTCAGTGCAATGACGGTGAAGGGCTCTGAAATGGAAGAAGGCTTCCAATAAATCATGTACTTTTTTAAAAAAGAAAAGAGGAATAGGGAACCTAATTGCAAAAACAATAGATACAGCAATTCCTGGGTCCAGTCAACCCTAGTTTCCCACTAGCCCCCTTACCTGTCCACAGCAATGGCCAAGAGTGCGTTAGTTGAAACATAGAGGGAGACAGTCCTCAAGTAATTGATGGATGCACAGAGGATATGGCCATGTTCCCAGGATAGCTGGCGCACCACATAATAGTCCATCTCAAATGGACAGCAAACAATGGCCACAATGAAGTCTGAGATAGCCAGGTTGGCAATGAGAAGATTGGTGAGATTCCTCAGCTTCTTATAACGGATGAGAGCAGCAATGAAAATGAAGTTGCCAATACCGCAGACCAACATGATGCCAGCCAGTGCCACACCAATGACAATTTTGGCAGCAAAGAAAGTGCGAGTCTTTGTCATATCATCACCATCATCCAAGAGTAGATCATAGTCACTGTAGCTGAAGTTGAGAGGGAAGGTGAAGTTCTGATAAGGAGGGAAGTCTCCAATATGGTTGCCATAGATAGCAGCAAAGCTGGTATGTGGGTATGTGTTATTGGGATGATGTGCTTCTTGCTTCATGGTGTTGTTCTTGTCTCTTTTCTTCAGTGATGCTTTATTGAACTTTATCTTTTCACCACCATCCATGGGAGAAATCTCACTGTTCTGCAAGTCATGTTCTCAACATCTTCAACAGCAGCACTATCACTTTTTACCTTTCAAGACAAGAAAGAAGTAAACCCACTTAGAGAATGGATAACATACCATTCTCTCCCCCCAAAAGCTTATCTTGAGGCATGCCAAAGATTGGGAAGGACAAATCTTTTTCTAAGATCCTTTCCCACTTCTTTATGCTCAGACATAAACAAGGTCAGTTTTCAAATCCACATGAGGGGCTTTTTCAGGTAGGAATAGTTTCCATGCAAAGACAGAGCTCGGTGATTGACAGTGAAGAGAGGGAAGAAATAAAGTTAAATTTCCTTTGGCCTTTTGCAGTCTGTGAAAGGCTCGTGGAGGAACAAAACTGCCACTCTTGCATTTTAGCAACCCAAGTAATTCAATTGAGTGTGATCAGTTTCATGCCAGCAAGATTTTATTTTGTAAGTAGATAATCCCAGTACCAGTTTAAATTTCTCAACCTTTTGTTGAAGTCAACAAAACAGATTGATTGATTGATTCCTGACATGAATAAACTACCCCAGCCTCGAAGGCTCAATAAATCCAAATACACAAAAGTAAAGGGAAGTTGGAGAGTCTTACTGTGCAATGGAATCAATGATGCCATCCTGTAGGGACAAAGGAACCAAATTCTTCAGATGCTTGGAGATACTATGCTTATATAAATCAAGAACGGTCACCCAAAGTTTTGGGTAAGGTTCTCTGATGCCTTGATAGGAATGGCTTTCCTTGATAGGAAGAGCTTTCCCCTTTCATGAATAAGGAGGATTTTCAATATTGGGTCCCTCAAATGTATACTGTGCCCTCTATATTGGACCATTCGAGTGAATCTATAAGTTGAATTCATAGAGCTAATTGAACTTCAAACTTCACCACTGTTTTGGACCTTTTATATAATGAAAAATGCTTTGCAAAAATACAACCTGGTTGGTTACAACAAAATCAGCAGTGCTATGGCTGCTTAAATAGTCTGTGGACTCCATGGAAAAGAATATCCTAAATCCATTTGGTTAGAAATTGTGCAAACCTCCCCAAGGAAAAAAAAAGAGGGATTAAAAACAAGAGGAATTGTATATAACAGTTCATAAGTGACATTATCTTATGTAGTCTCGTGTTTATGCTTCCATTACTGGAAGGAAGACTGATATTTAAATTTGCAAGATCAGATAATATATTTTACATATAATTATGTATCTACCCAAACCCAGTGGAACAACTGGATCCCAAATGCTGCAAAACAGTTGGACTTATTTTGCATTGTGGAGATGTCAAACAGCCTCAGGTATTTTGTCTGGGTAGTAATGAAGATTCTGCTTATGGCAATCAAACACAAGTCATCATAGATTGGAGCAGCCTATAAATTCCACCATAAACAATCACATAACTAAACAAATAATTAAGCATAATTCCTAATTCTCAGGGCAACGAGCAGCTAGATTTTGTATAAGAAATATATCTGGGAAAGTTCAGTTACTTATCATGTTTCATCTGTGGTAGAAATGTGTGATGCAAACGAAGAGGGAAAACCTTTCATCTAAGTCCATCTAAAGAAAAAAGTAAAAACTGCAGACTTGTTAGAAGCTTCATGAAGCATTAGGTTGTTGCCAGGTCAAATCTTCATTACTGTTCAGTTGGCAGTCACGTACTTTTTTGTGTGAAATTTAAGAGAAAAAAGTCTAACAGCACCATGTGTATCAGAACTAAGTTTCACTGACTATCTCAGTGTTTCCTACAATTCCACCCCAAAGAAATAGCCTTAAGAATGAAGTGTAAATTTCTAAAGATTCATCGCTACAATGTCTGAGAAGAGTGTTATGTCAAACTATTCTCTCTCTGGCAGGAAATAAAAAAGCAGAAAAATCCAAACTTAAAATCAGTGCATGCCTTGACTATAAACAAAGATATAATTCAAACAAACTAGTAAATTGTATGTACTGTTATCATGTTGCTGATAAAAACAAAGCCATTTTTTTTTAAAAAAAAAAAATCAGACTGTACCTGTTTTAGAGCTTGTACTTAGGACAAATTCTGACTTCTTCCTATGCTGTAATCCCAAGAATAATTGCAGAGTCTTGAAAATTGCTGCAGAGATAGTGGAATGAAGAATGCTGTCTGGTTCTAGAAGTGGAATTGCAGAATGCAGGTCTTCTTTAGAGCTGAGCATGAACAGAAGTCCGGCTCTCTGTATGTCTGCATCTAAAGTCTATCCTCAGTAGGTGGCATCTTTATGCATATGTAATTTTAAAGAGGCAGTACTCTGTATGTCATATTCTGATACACATGTGATGTATGTTTAAGAATCCATGTGTATATTTTCCCCAGTCTTCAAGAAAATGGAAAATTTTTGTCTTTGCCTTTGACAAAGGATATTATCTTAGAACACTTGTCCTTGTGATCTCCTTAAATAATTGGACAGCCACAGAGATCCTCTCTTTTTCCTTCTCCTCTCCGAAAGGAATTGTGGTTCTTGCTGAAAATCGGAGCATACTATGGTTTTCCAAACTGCTTTTCTGGACAGAAGTCTCAATTATTGAAATTGTTTTAGGCAGCTAGTGCCATTTCAAAGGTATGTGGAGGTTGGTCATTCCCTGGAGCCTCGTGTGATTGAATTTCCTGCATGAAAGCTGCCTTCCCAACTTCTCAACCTCTAACCGAATAAATAAATACTGAGATAAGAGATGAGTAGTACACATAGAAATATTTCATCCAACCCAAAGCCTTTGACTATGCCACCGAGTGATTACAATTTTGTTTTTTTATGTTCATTTTACTTTGTCCCCTGTATGTAGGTGAAATATTTAATGAATGTTCTCAGACATCTTGGCACTGATAATTGTATCTATCAGTTCATTAAATCTACATCACAAACCCTACGACATGATTGATTTTAAATCAGCATGACTCTGCACTGAATGAAAAAGTATTAAGGGCTCCTTGTGGAATTTGTGGTGCCTCAAAGGCACCATTAAGGCCATTTGTAAAAAAAAAATATAAAGCCCTGAAATCTTTTCCCCCTTTAAATTAAAATCTGAGTCAGATTCCCAGTTTCACTCTCCCATCTCTGATCTCTCAAACTCCCTAATTTTACCACCTTGCCATAAGATTTGTGTTACATCCTTTTGTAGACATGCAACAGAAGTGAGAAAAAAAAACCTTACAAATAGTTAGTCCACTGGCCTTTAAATATACATAGAAACACTTGTGGGTCTTCTGCCCCCAAGAATATGTGACTACTAAATCTTACCATAGAAAAATGGACTATTTGAGCTCTGTTGGCTTTATTTTCGTTACCCAAACTGACTGATTTACCTAAAGTGTTTGTATGTGTGTTTAAGTAGCTTTTGTTGTTATTATCAGGGCTTTTTTTGTCATAGAACGCCCAGAACGGAGTTCCGGCACCTTTTTGGGATGGAACCTTGTAGGGTAGACAAGGCGAGTTGTATGACATGTGTGAGTTCTGGCACCTTTTTTTTTTAAAGCACTGGTTATTATTATATTTAGATTCAGTCTTTTCTTGAGGAACTCAAGTTGGCTTACATGGGATACTCCCTTTTACCATAACTGCATTATTCCTATCTATGAGGAAGATTAGGTTGAGAGTCAATCATAGTCCCACAGCTAAACAATGACTTGCTGTGTCTGAATGAATTCCACATCTTAGTCCAAGAGATTAACCCCTATGCTACATTAGATCTACTCAAGTGGCAATTATTAGGAGAGATTTCTAGTACACATTGTGAGTTCAGGTTCTACATACATATTTACTTGAAAGTTAAGATCTTTTCATCTTAAAAAGGCAGAGGCCCTGGTGGCACAGTGGTTAAAGTGCAGCATTGCAGGCAAATTTGTCCACAGCCTGGAGTTTGATCTTGACAGAGCTCAGAGTTGACTCAGCCTTCCATCCATCTGAGGTCGGTAAAAGGAGGACACAGATTGTTGGGGGACTACTCAGAGAGTGCTGTAAAGTGCTACAGGGCAGTATATAAATCTAAATGCTATTGCTATTGCTAAAAATCACATTAACTGACCATTTAAAGCAATAGAATGGTAATATTAAAATATCAATAAAGTAATGACTCACTATTGATACCAACCCCACATTCAATAATCACAGTTGCGAATGATCTTTGACAAGGTTTGCTTTTCCAAAATTGCCAGGGTAGGAGTGCCCACCAAAACTCTTTTGGGAGCTCTTCCACATGTGGGGGAGCCAAATTAAAAAACCTTTATTTGAGCCTATTCTCACCTGCCCTCACTTCTGTGGTAAATCCTATTTAAGTAGGTAGTCGTTAGCCCTGCAATACTTTTGCTGAATTGAGCAGTCCCTTTTCTTTTTAATGTTATCCTTTCTGCTGCAGACAGTTGTGCAGTACATGGAGAAGCCACATGATCCAGATTGATTTACAAGGGTCTTTGACACAACTTGACCGAATACAGCTTTTATTAAAGAGGAGCTGATGCTGCTGAATGAGAGAGATTCCCTTCTGTATCATGGAAAGTGGAAACTGTAGCAAAACATGAAGGGGAGGCAGAAAGAATGGTGGTGGTTTCTTTGCCCATCCAGTTTACTGCGGACAATTCTCCTCCTGAAATAGAAAATGGTCTAGCCCCCTCTGGGCAATGTACAAAAAATGAAAAGCTTTCCCATGAAACTTTTCCTCATTGCAGAAAGCATGGACTCCTTGAAGATGAGACAAGGAAGTGCGGAAGGAGACGTTAATCCCCACTGCTTTAATGACTCTGAATCCTTTTGGGTCCAGACCTCAGTGGCCTTTCTTTCCCTCTCTTGTCAACTTACCTCTTTCGTGTCTCTGATTTTCATATAGGGTTTTCCCTCTGGATTTCTCTTTCTTTCCCTTTACCCTGAATGTTTTTTTTTATATGAGAAAGAATTTTTTAATATGTATATACAGTATGTAGCTGTGGGTGGGCCATTAATCCTACAAATGGGGGCATTATAGACAAATCATTTTAATCTCTCATTCTTTTGCTGCTGTTGTTTTGGCTCTGTTTCACCCCCCCCCCCCAGAAAGATTCTGACCAATCAGAATGTGTGTGTTTATATATATGTACGCTTGTACACACACACACACACACACACACACACACCTATATGTACAAACATATGCAAGTAATACACATTCACATTTATTAGGTGGATTTACAAGACGGGTTTCAGTTGTCATGAGCAACCATAGACAAAATGATAGAATTGGATGTTGTGTAGGTATTTGAGGTTTGTTTGTTTCTTCCCTATTTATGGGGAAAGGTTATATTAAATTCAGAATTGTCCTCTATTCCTCTATTCACATATATGTGAATTAAAATAAATATGAATTAACGTGAAAAAAAAATCTGATTAGCACCAATAGAGATTCTTCCCCTAAGGGCAATTGGTTCATGAGTGGGTAGGTGATATTTATTTATTTAGATTGCATCCTGAAGGAAATATTTAAATGTGAAAGATGCTTCCACTTGGATTTTTATTCTTTTATTTTTAAATGACATGATTGCTAATCATCCTCTTAGCATCCATTGTGGCTAGCTTAAAGTTGTATGCAGAAAATGATACTGGATTTTTTCTTAAGGAAGGGATAAAGAAACCCGAAGGAGTAGGGAAAGTTATATGCTGAATACACTGGCTCAGAGCCAGTGATACAACCTACCTTTTTCTGGGCAACAGAATAAAATAAATGATCTTTAAAATAGAATTCCATAACCTTTATTGTTCCAAGGGCTGCACATGTTTTTTCCAATATAATTGAGCTTTTAGTAGGAAATGATGAAGACAATCAAAGAATGATTGAATATGGAAGAGAAGGGAGGAAGGCCCCCTTTTTCCTCAGTTAAGAAAATTGTTCCTTCAGTCCGGCAGTATGATGTTTTGCAAATTATATATTAAGTATAGCAGATGCAGTATAGTGAATATAATAGAATATAGCATCTCTTACTTGGTAGGCAATGGTCAATGGATTGCAAGTTGTCTCAAGATTAAAAATGCTGGCTTGCATAGAATAGCCTGAGCATGCCTAGAGTACAAATGAGCTATGGTTATGCTAGTGGCAGACTGGCCAAAATATATTTGTAAGATAATACGAATGACTGGGTGAAAATGAGATGACAGAGTATTCTTCTCACCGCTTCCCACTTCTTTTTTTTTTGCCCTTTCCATAATACTGCTTACTCCCTGTGATAATATGATAGGTATGTTGGTGTAAACATATCCATGCACGTTGTGACACAAATGATTTGCCCTGAAGTTTTAATTCACTTAAACAGATTCCATTTTCCAAACAGAAAGATAACATGATATATTTACATTATTTATTAACCTGGAAAAATATTGAAAAAAAGTTAAATCTCATGAAAGAATCACATCCACATGCAAACTTCTTTTAAAGTTCTCCCTTCTCACTGTAGCTTGAATCTCTTACTAACAGGAATGTCTCGACCAACAAAATGGGTAAGCTGTGAAAGGGCAAAAGCCATACCTTTTTTCCCCTGATAGGCCACTCAAGTAGTAGATTTCTAGAATGTTTATTTGCAGTAGGACTAGAACTCACAATTTAAAAGATCTACAACAAACAACCAAGCTTAGAGAGCACCAGGTTCTCTACAGTTTAGTCCTGAACTGAGATTCTATTCTATTGGAGGACACAAAGCTTGGGTTATAGTAGTTGAAACTTTGAAGTCCTCCATGTTGGGAAAGGTTTCTTTAACTGTTTCTACATGCCAATCAACTAAGCCTTGTTTCTAATCCTTTGCACAAAAATGGTTTCACTGACATTTGAGGTGTTAATTACAGCTATTTCAAATGTCAAAAGTCTGGGCAGTTCCAAATTCTGACCCATATAATACATACCCATCACATTATTCCCTTCATGAGAAATAAGACTGCATAAAGCACAAAAAGTAAGAAATATTATGGAAAAGAAATTAAGACACAAAGAAAAGGGAAAGGAAATATAATTATATTTAATTTACATCAACACCGTTTACTATACTTCTCCATAACTCTGTATCCTTGCAAATCATTTTTGCTTCTAATACATTCATACAGAGAAACATACGTTGCTTTTAGTTC